ACCTTGTCATTGCCATGGTCTTTGTCTCCATCTTCGGCTTCCCACTGCAGAGTGAGAAAAGAGCACACAACCTCAGGAACACCGTTTGCATGACATTATAAACACAGCTATATATATGATCACGTGGATGATGCAGTGGCTCAGTGGCTAAGATGCTGACCTTGTCAATCAGAAAGGTCGGCAGTTTGGCAGTTCGAATACCTAGCGCTTCATAACGGAGTGAGCTCCCGTTACTTGTCCCAGCTTCGGCCAACCGGGTACTTACATGTATGGTATTCAGCTTTGTTTGGGTATTTTCCCATGTCATTAGTTGTGCTTTTAAAGTTGTAGCAACGTTTCGGCAGAATCTCATCTGCCGTCATCAATACAGAATACAGAATCAATACCAATACAGAAGCCTGATGATGGCAGATGAGATTCTGCCGAAACGTTGCTACAACTTTAAAAGCACAACTACAATGACGTGGGAAAATACCCGAACAAAGCTGAATACCATACATGTAAGTACCCACAAAAACTTAAGAAAACATATATGTGTGTGTGTGTGTGTGTGTGTGTGTGTGTGTGTGTGTATGAATGACGCCAGGCCGGGGGGGGGGGGGGAGAGAGAGAAAGAGAGAAAGAGAGAGAGAGAGAGATGTTTAGATGTTTAGCATTTCCAGAAGGACTTGTTTCAGGTTTTTCCTATGTTTGAATTTAGAAATCATGTTGAGTTATATCTCTCTTAACTTTGGCATTAAAGTTGGAGACAGATGTGGGATAGATGTCATGCTGGCAGCATTTCCAAGGGTACTCTTGAGAATTTGCGTGCGCACATGTGCGTTCAGACACACACACACACACATATTAATCCAATCACAGTGATAATCTGCTAACCATGAACAAAAGTACACATGAAATCTTTTCCCCAAAACTGATCACCGGGGCCAGAAATAACAAGATTCACCATCTCGTGGGCAGCTTGCATACAAATGCTGTGTATTGTATTAGCGAATGTGAGAAGTGGATTTATGGGTAGTTTTGCTGAGAAGAAAAGCAAGGTCACTTTCTTTTCATGGATTGTTTTTGCTGGATCACAGGGTTTTTATTTACTGAGTGAATTTATTCACTCAGTGGAGTTTCAGTTGCTCCATTAATTCTGTATAAAACAATACAGAATTCAGTTTATGTTATTAACCTTCGGTGTCTGTAAGTGAGCAGCGAATGCTATAAGCATTCAGGAGGGCCACTACAGTATGAGGAAGCCGTTCTGAACAGTGTCTTATACACACACATGCCTTTGATTTACATCCGCACATTGCAATTGGGTTGTTATCTGTAAACTCAAGAGAGACAAAAAGAAAATACCAAAGACCTTTCCGGAAACTAAAATATAGGAATGAGTTTCTATCCTATTGTGATGTATCCTCTCTGGTAGCAAGTTCCAGAAAGAATTTGCATTCAAAACAGGCAGCCCTGATAACCATGAAACCTCCTTGTAAAATTATGAGAGGGCAGAGAACACCAAGGACTCCACTGATGATGTTACCTAGTTTGGTCGTGAAATGTCCGCAAGCAAATAACTAAGCTCAGAAAGCACCAAGGATTCCACCGTTCAACCCTGAACTTGATGCTTTTAGTAATTTTTAACCTATTTAAAGAACCTATTACTGGGCAGAGTGGAATAACAACAGTGACAACTACAATGAAAATAATTCACAATAGATTATATATGTTCCTCTCTCTACAAGAATCTCTTCTGAATCTTCCAGCATCTTAATTAATTTTCCCCATGTTAGAATTCTTTTTTTTAAAGGGTTCATCTAAATATATTTATTGCTACCAAAGTCAAATATCAGGGGAAAAGATTAAGAATAAACAAAGCAAGACCGTACATTTTTGGTTAAAAAAAAAGTCCATGATATTCAATACTGCTTATTCCTTAAATGTATTTAGGATTTACTAAATCTTCATAAATATGACAATAGGTTTCCACTTGTGTGGAATGTCATCTTAGATGATTGGCTGTTTCTATTTCAAGCTAGCATTGTTTCTTTCCTGTAAAAAAAATGTTATTTGCTGAAGATAGTCGATCAAGAACTGAAATACAGAACTTCCTCCTCCCTTCTTCTTTGGTTACAAGTTTTATAGCTTCCTGTATTTGTCATTTGCATACGTTTAAAGAATGATGTGAATAGGGACGGGCTATGCTGCGTATCCCAGTGGCATCATCCACAGGGTGCTGGCTGATGTTCTCCGATCATACTTTCTTCTCCACAGGAAGGAGTTAGAACAGCAGGTGTTCCTCAGCCTCTTTCTGGCTAGACAAACCCAGTGAGGGGGGCCCCAAGGCTGGAGGATTCTGCATCTGTCTTTAGAAACAAATGTCGTTGAGGTTTTGCAGCTTGAGAAAATGCGCGGAGTCACCAGAACGAGTTTCTCTCCAGCTGCAGACTAAACTCAGCTGTACTTCAGGATTCGCCTTAGCTACCTCCATGCTTGTATTGAGTAATTGTGAGCTTACTCCATTCTGGTAGGAATCCGCATAAGGGTTGGATGAATGGAAGGCTCACGTGGCTCTGGCCCATCCGAACCTTCTCCCTTCATAACGGTAGATCAGTGAGCCGTAACGCCAAGAAAAGGGTGGGTGGACAAGGGCCTACTGAGCAAAACCAGCAAAGTACACCCCAATGCAGCAGGACCAGGGGTGGGGTTCAAAATTTTAGCAAAGGGTTTTCTGCCTGGTTGCTGGGTGGGCGTGGCCTAGTCAGCCTCCTGCACCAAGGCAGGGGGGCGTTTTTGCCCTCCCCGGGCTCCGGATGCTTTTCTCGAGCCTCCAAGAGGGCAAAAAATGGCCTCCCCAGGCTCCGGAGGCTCTCTGGAAGCCAGAAATGGGCCCATTTCTGGCCTTTCCAAACTTCCAGGAGGCCCATTTTTCACCCTCCCTGAGCCTCCATGCGCGCCCTGCACGTACCTGCATCTAAAACAGGCCACGTGGGGACCACTGGGAGGGGCGGTGTGGGGTGGGCGAGGCCAGCCAAGAGTGGGATTTGGGGGTTCTCCAAACTGCACAGAAACTTAGCTAGGGGCTCTCCTGAACCCCTGCAAACCCCCAGCAGCCCACCCCTGAGCATTGCCACAGGGAGGTAGAAAGGTAACATACACCAGGGGTCCTCAACCACCGGGCCGCGGACCGGTACCGGTCCGTGGAGCACTCTGTACCGGGCCGCAAAGGAAAAAAAATTAAAAAATGGCGGCTTTCTTCGCCTTCGGTGAATGCTGCTGGGATCGGGGATCAAGGACACAAATGAGAGAAGGGGAGGGAGGAAGCAACCGAAGCCTGTCCTGCTCTCTGGCTCAGCAGCTTCGGTTTCCTCCCGCCTCGTTCCTCTCTCAGTCGCTCTCTCGCTGCTCCACCAGCCCAGGAAGAAACTGCTTCAAAGAAGCCAGGGGGGTGGTGGCTTTTCCTGTCGTCGCAGCGCCTCCGAAGCGCCCGTTTACCCACATCCCGCCCGCCCGCGCGCGGTTCAATTCAGTGCCCTGTTCTGCCTGCCTGCCTGTTTGGTTGTTTGGGAGCAGCTTCGGCTGAGAATAATAACTATTCGCCTCTTTTTATCAGTCGAAGCTGCTCCGAAACGAAGAAGGCAGGCAGGCAGGCAGAACGGAGCACTGTGGATTGAACCGCGCGCGGGCGGGCGGGGTGGGGGTGGGGGTAAACAGGTGCTTCGGAGGAGCTGTGACACCTGAGGGAGGGAGGGAGACACCTGAGGGATGGGGCTGAGGGAGGCAGGGCCGAGGCGCTCCCTGAACTTGGTGGTTTGCTGGCAGACGTTTTATTACCCAACTAGGTAACAACATCAGATGTTACCTAGTCAGGTAATGAAACGTCTGCAAGCAAACCACCAAACTCGGATTCTTCTCCCCCCCCACCCCGGTCCTTGAAAAAGTGTTTGTGCTTGAAACTGGTCCCTGGTACAAAAAAGGTTGGGGACCACTGACGTACACCATTGTTTCTACAATAAGCCTTCTTTAAGCCTTCTTTAAGACCATAGAGTTCAACATGATAACCTAGCTTCACAGTTGGCAGAAAGTGTGGGAGATGGCCTTTTCTTTTTAATTAAATTAATTTTCCTAGGCCTGGATAAGGCAAAGATCATGGTTTAGATGTCAGCTTTGGAAGCTATATTCCACGCTGCCACATAGCCTGAGAAAGTGGGAGGGGGTGATTTCAATTAAGTAGCTCTAAGTAGACAAAATAAGATTCTTTTGTTAGTTCAAGGTCATTTAGCATGGCGCAGGATGAAATAAGGATCTTACTTTTGGACGGATCGTGATTGGGCCCTTGTGATGTGATGACGACCAAAGGGGGATGGATTTGTAGCTTGGGGAATTGTGGAAAGCCCAAAAGCTTTTAGATTCGAGATTCCACAGATGTCCCAGGTGCTATTCTAATAAAGGTACTTTTGAGATATGTTTGTCTCGGAGTTACTGATTGGAATGGAGGTTTGCTGGAAGGCTGACATTAGAATTGTGGGATGAAATATCCATCTGGTTCAGTTCCAAGCTGGGAGAAAGACACTGGAAACATGGAGGCTGTTTGGAAAGATGGTTTAATGGTGAAGCAGAACCACCAAGCACATGGTTCTGGGCAGCTGACCACATGGAGTTGAGAGTGAGGGGTATTTATACCTTCTCTTAGGCTTTGCAGTTGAACTTCCTGTTCCTGTGGAAGAACATGTATTCTATTGGCTGTTGTAGCTGGCTCTGTAGATTGTCCCAGCCTTGGTTAAAGTTTGGATGGTGTGGTGAAACTGAGATGATGCAATGAAGGAGCTTGTGATCTGAAAGGATGTTAGGCAATTCCTATTATGGTTGACGGCTAATCCTATCTTTGTTCAGACCTTGCTGCAGGGAATTTGCTTATGAATAGATAGAGCTACCGTGTTTCTCATAAAATAAGGCCGGATCTTATTATTTTTCGAGCCCTGAAAAAATGGCTAGGACGTCTTTTCGGGGGTGACTTATTCCCCCTGTTGCATCCTTGGGCAGGAGGGCGGCGGCAGCGTGGATGTCAGCCTTGGTGATGGGGGGGCATTTTGCATCGCAAGACCTTTGGCGCCCGCCGCTGCTGCTTCCTCTTGGAGCGTCCTCTTCCGTTTGGAGCGTCGCCACCGCTCTAAACACCTCGTTTGGAGCTGCTGCTGCTGCATTTGGAACATTGCCACCGCGTTTGGAGCTGCCACCATCTCATTTGGAGCTGCCGCTGCCACATTTGGAGCATCGCCGCTGTGTTTGGAGCTGCCGCCGCCACGTTTGGAGCGTCACTGCCGCATTTGGAGCTGCCGCCGTATTTGGAGCTGCCACCACGTTTGGAGTGCTAAACGCGGCGGCGGCAGCTCCAAACACAGCGGCAATGCTCCAAAAGCAGCAGCGGCAGCTCCAAACGCGGCGGGGATGCTCCAAACGGAAGCTCCAAGAGGAAGCAGCAGCGGTGGGCTCTGAAGGTCTCATGATGCAAAATGCCCCACCGCTATCAAGGCCAACATTCACACCATCACTGCCCGCCCGCTGACCCAGCCTGCAGGCAGCACCATACCCGGGTCTGCAGCAAAGGTACTTGGTGGGAGTAGGGGGCTCTCCGCGTTCCGCCATGATAGGCCGTTAGGAGCAGCTGGTGGCGAGGCAGGCTGCCCGCGGGGCGCTTCTAACGGCAAGGGCCCCCGCCCTTCCCCCCATTTCACATGTTTTAAAATAGGCCTAAATTTGGGGGGAGGGGCTTAATTTCATTTTATGCTTAAAAAACTTGCTGGGGGAGTTATTGTTGGAGAAACACAGTAGCTATCTCTTTATCTCTTAAATGCTGACATCTGCTGAGGGCTATTAAGAAAGGTGGAGGCTATTAAGAGTGAGTCTGCTTCCTGCCCGTAAAAAGAAACATGTTTCCAGGGAAATATCATATTCTGCCTTTTTAACATTTCTCAAAATGTTTCATTCTTCTAGGAGATGGAGTCTTCCGTCAATGTACAGGTAAATCTTGACTTACAACAATACAGTGTAAGTCCGTTCAAAGTTACAACAGCATTGAAGAAACATGACTTATGACCAGTCCTCGCACTTACAATCCTTGTAGCAAACCCATGGTCATATACTAAAAATGAGAATTTTCGGCTACTAGCATGAATTTATGACGGTTGTATCATCCCAAGGTCATGTGACCATCATTTTTGACCTTCTCAGCTGGTTTCCTACAAGCAAAATCAATGGGAGGAAACTGGGTTTACTTAACAACCTCATTATCCCTGTAACAACTGCAGTGATTCACTTAACAACCGTGGCAGAAAAGATCATAAAATCAGGTACGATTCCTTTGCAACCACCTTCCTTAGCAATGGAAGTCCTGTGGTTGTAAGCCGAGGACTACTTGAAGAAAGGGATGGCAGCTATCAATTTTGCTTTCATCCAGTTCATTTTCCTTTACATAGTTTCATCTTGTTTTTCTGTATCAGTTTGAGAACACGATAAAACAAAATATAAGCAAACTTAACATGTATACATGCATGCACACACAATATCTGCATGTATTTTAATGCATGTTCCTACTTAGAAGTATCAAATACATATTAATTTTTTTAGGATGCATGGGTTTTGCAAGCTATTTCCCCCAATATAGCCTTTAATATGCTATTTTACTTAATATATTTTGTTTCATCTTAACTGAATATTGCCACTAAGGGTTGTTTGATCAGTTTATCAATCAATTCATTCAAACCTGAATTAAGAGTAACATTTTGGTATCAAGTATATATAAGTAGGGCAGAAAAAGAAAAAATGAGATGGTTTTCAAGTCATTCAGAGAATACTGTTACTTACAAATATGTCATGAAAAGTATGTCTGACATGAAAATTGTCTTCTATATTTTCATCTCTTTCTTCATCTTTGTTTTTATTTTTGTTAGCTTTTCTTTTTAAGTCTATTTTTCTGGTTTGGGTCTCAAAGCTCTTTTATTTATTTATTTTAAAGATATGCATAACAGAATATATGATTGTGAAATTACCGATTCAAAAACATTACTGGGCTAAATCAAGGAAAATCTTCTTGCTTCCACAATATTAACTTCTACTACTTCATTTCCCTTTTGAAAGATTGTTTTGTCTGTGGAGATTCTCAGTCATCCACGTCACAGTTGTCTCAACAGTGCTTTTTTCTTTAAAAAGCAACTGGACTTTTGTTTTTTTTCTTGAGGAAGAAGAAAATGTTTTGCTTTTCATCCAAGAAGCTTCATCATTCTGATCTGATGAACCTTACTATTCTGTTTTATATAAAGTTGAACAATCTGATAGTTTCTGGGCATTCAACTTTATTTGGTCAAACCAACAGACTGTAGACCAGGGGTGTCCAACCTTGGCAACTTTAAGACTTCAACTCCCAGAATTCCTCAGCCAGCAAAGCTGCTGTAGACCATCTACATGAGACAGAAGTATATACCATTGGATATAGTTGATTTCAAACTCTTGGAATAATTCAACAATTCAATATTTTCTCCAAGGAGGCTGTAAAAACTGTCCAAGCATATATTTTGAATTGTTTGATAGAGGATATGAAGACAAATTAGCAATGGGTTGATGATGAATCAAACTCCTTCCAGAGGAAAGCAAAATGTCTAATGTGTGTACCATGTTTGTTAATTATTTCATAGTTCACAGATTTACATCTGAATTGTCCCTAGTGAAGGCATTATACTGACATGATAATGAGACAATGGGAAATTTTATCTGTGATGACTGTTTCACACATACAACATATCTCTTGGTGTTCCAGTTGTAAGTTGGATGGAAACCCCACTTCTAACATTATACCAGGCATCAATTCTCTTAATCTTATTCTTAATCTGCAAAGCGTCAGTGATAAATTCCATATACTGCATAACAGCTTGTCTCACTGTGTTTTTAGGAGACAAATAGAAGCCGATAAGAGTTGGGTTCCACCTGAAGCAATTACTTCTTCCAGGACCACAGAATCAAAATGTTATTTCTGTGATTGGCAAATCAGCTGCCATTTTGTTGAACGTTCCAGGGTAAATCACGACAATGATTGGCATTGTTGAAGCCTTGTTATTGGATTCAGCATAAAATTTAATAGTAAATAACAAAGCTAAATTCATACAATTCACTGGTAATGCAGTCAGCGTTACCAGACTACACAATATTTTTCACTCAATGGAATACCAAATCCTTTATAGAATAATGATCTCTGATGGCAACCAAATATCACTTGATGAATAAAACTAGCTGATGTGAAAAAAATACATATTGTGGAAATGAAGGAAGGAATGGCTTAATTGGTGAGTTAGTGCAATACAATACACCAATGATGAAAGCACTGTCTTTCGTTACGTCTGTGATTTTATCTTGATTGACCTACTGGAAGCCTCAGCTCATTGCCGTAGTCTTCTCAAAGAGGAGTTGAAAATGGCTGATTAATAACCATGAACCCCTATATTAGACAAAAACATAGACTTTTTATATACTTTCTGACCTATAAAGATCTAAAATGGTTCATTATTTGCTGGGATATGTAAGACAAGTTGGAGACTTTTAATACATGTGATAATAGGAGGCACTTGTTGAGGTGGGTTATACAATGATTGATTGAACGATTGATTGATTGAAAAAATGAATAAATACAGAGACACAGAAATGTAACCTTATAATAAAAATACTATTGACTTTGTAGTCTGATCTACACTGAAGTGCTGACCATACGCTAGCAAATATTTTGTCCATCACACAACTTGTAGGATGTGTAAACTTTGCGATACAAATCATATATACTGACTTCAGAGCCAGGACAAAAAGAAATGATGGGGTCTTAGAGCTTGTAACTTCATAGATGGTATTCATTGCCATGCAAACAAGCATTGGAAGCTTGTACTTTGGGGAGTAGATTTACTGTTTGCAACTCTCTGCATTTTTCTACCACCTTTCATTTCTTGTCACATAAAAACAAATAGTTAAGGAGGAGAAGTTAGTAAGAGTCAGGTATGCCTCTTTTTTAGTAACTAGGTACTAGGAACTATCCAGCAAGAAATTTAAGCAATATAAATAAGAATGTATGGACTCTTCCTTATAGACATACATGGTATTCATGTGTACAGGTAGTCCTCGACTTACAATTTTTTGTTAGTGATTAATTCAAAGTTACAACCACAATGAAAAAAAGTGACTTATCACTATTTTTCACACTTAGGTTCACTGCAGCATCCCCATGGTCATGTGATCCAAACCCAGACACTTGACAACTAGCATGTATTTCTGATACATGTGGTGGTGTCCCGGAGTCATTTGATCACCTTTTGTGATCTTCTGAGAAACAAAGTTGATGGGGAAGCCAGATTCACTTAACAACCAAGTTACTAACTTAACTGCAGCGATTCACTGAACAATTGTGGCAAGAAGGGTCATAAAATGGAGCAAAATTCACTTAACAGTGGTCTGGCTAAGCAGTGAAAATGTTGAGCTCAGTTGTGATTATGAGTAGAGGACTACCTGCATTTGTTCAATCTCTGAATTATCATAGAAGTAAAACGCTGCTTATTTATGGAAGCCCTATGTTAGGATGATGTTGCAGCTTCAGCTTAAAAAGTCCATGGAAAGCGATACCCAGACCGTGGAGGAAAGGGGGAATGGCTACAGCACTAAGACATAAGGACAGTTTTTCCAAAAATGCCATCACTCTGCTAAACAACTAACTCCCACAACACTGTCAAATTACTTAGTAAGACTGCATTACTATTCTTCTTCTCATCCTTCCTATTTCCTCTTCCCACTTATGACTATAACTGTGTTGCTTGTATCTTTACAATTTATATTGTTTTATTTGTTTTCCTAGTATGTTTTGATTGCGTATTAGTAACCCATGTATGATTTGATTGCTTATAGTAACCCATGACTATCAATAAGTGTTGTATCTTATGATTCTTGATGAATGTATTTTATTTTTTCTTATGTACACTAAGAGCATATGCACCAAATTCCTTGTATGTCCAATCACACTTGGCCAATAAAGAATTCTATTCTAAAAAAAAAAAAAAGTAACCAAGAGAAGCTGGGAACATTTCTTCCCCTGACTGTATCATTGCCAACATGATCTGCGAGAGAAGAAGAAAACCAGCTAAAGGTCCATGTGCTTTTGTGATGGCTGGAGATTAAATGAAGGCTGCGTCTTGTGCTCTGAAAACAATTCACGGAGCATTTGTGCACCAGGGTTAGTGAGACACAAGGATAAGCCCTGATACCCAGCCACAAAATAAGAAGACCTATTCATTGGACTTTATACCATGCAGTCAATTTAAACAGCCAAACTCAGTAAATGGAACAAAATGACAGTGGTAATGGGCCACTTGCTGTAAAAATGCAAGGTTATGGCATGAACTCAGAAGGAAGGGAGGAGATGTGTATTGGCAAGGCCTGCACAACAACGATTGTGGAAAAGGAAAAGGGAGTGTGGACAGGTGGGGCCCCTTTCGATGTAGAAAACAAGAGCTGACTGTCAGGCACATAATACAAGACATATTGCTAAGATAAGAAATAGGGTTAAGTCAGAGCCAATAGGGTTGCTACAAGTCTTATAGGATGCCTATTAGCTAACTTTTAGAAATAGGGTTCAAACAGACCCAATAGAATATTTGTTAGACAACTTTTGAACTGTTTATTAGTTAAGATTTAGAAATAGGGATGGCATCGAGTCAACAGAAGACCCTTTAGATAATTTTCAGAATGCCTATTAGAAAATGCTTGTTTAGCCCACCTTGAAAAAAAAAAAACCTGCATAAAAGCTTCTTGAATGCTCTATTCTGGGTCCTGGCATTTTGCTGACTGGGGCCCCTTTTGCAGAAACGTTTCAATAAAAGGAAACAAAACCTCTGCTCGTGTCTGGTGTTCATTGGCTTTGGCACCAGGCTCAGACCCGAATTGAGAACAACGGTAGCATAACCAAGTATAATTATCTTTCTCTTAGTGAGCAAGATCTCCCATGTGAGATTTGCCAAGCTCCTGTGTGGGTGTGCGTGCGCACTTGTGTGCACTCTGTTTGACTCCTGGAGACCACCTGGACAAGTATCTGGAAGTTTTCTTGGCAAGGCTTTTCAGAAGTGGTTTGCCATTGTCTGCTTCCTAGAGGTGAGGAGAGGGACTGGCCTATAGGTCTCCCAGTTGGCTTTGTGCTTAAGGAAAAGCTAGAATTCACTGTCTCCTGGTTTCCAGCCTGGTGTCATCATCACTACACCACACTGTCTAACTTAAAGCTCTCCTCATCCCTAGTAGTTTGTAACTCTACTTGGGCTTATTGTTTACTATTCTGTTATATATTTGTGTAGCTCAACCAGACAGACAGAAAGATGGGTACCATCCCTCAGTGATTGATCTTTCAAGATTATGGGGCTATGGATGCTTTTAACTCTAGAGTACCCCATTACTTCATCATACATACATATTTTTTCCAGCCCTGTTTTGTTTTTACTTTTTTAAAAAAACTGTAAACAATGGGGGAATGATAGAGATCACAGTTTCTCTGCTCTTCCATCATCACTTGCTACCCCATTCCTTTGTTGAGTCAAGAGGAAGATGGAGTAGTAACAGGAGGGTGTGGCAAAGTAACTTTCAAGGATTTGCTTTTGATTTCTTGATCTGCCTTGGGCCTCGAGCATTATCAGAAACTTTGAAAACAGTGCTGGCAACTCTTAAAAAAAAAAAAAAACCCCGAATGAATAGGAAGTGAATTTGGACAATAAGCAAGAGCAACTTCATTTTTTAATTCCTGAAAGTGCTTTTAAGAAGCCAAAATAGCTAAAAGCCTATGTTCGGTTGGTGAGCGGGGTGTTGTGCTTTGCAAGTTGCTGAACTAAAGCTTTCTAGCTCTACTTACGGTAGTAAATCTCGTGATTCATCCACTCACTGAGCTTGGATTTCAGAGACATCTATTGTCCCGATGCAGTTATTGCCGCATGCTTTGCTTACCTGCTGCTTTTAAAATCTGTTGGCCCTGTTCATTCTGACACGGAATAATCAGGATAGATTTTCTGAAAAGGTATTTTCAGCCTTGCTTCTTGCAGCTCATTATAACACAAAGACCACAACTGGACAGCCAATGCCTTCTGACTGTGCAACATATCTGAGGGGGTGGGTGGAATTAATGACCCAGATCACTGGGAAAATACTTCTTTTTAAAAGAGAACCTGGGATGTAATTTTCATGTATTTCCATTTGAGGAAATATATGTGCTAGCAAGAAGGATTTCTTTTGGATTTCTTTTTGTGGTGTGATTTTCTTTTTAATGTACAAAGGTAGAAGAAAAGTTAGAAACTCTAGCCATCCAGTGATCCGCCTTCATTAAAACCCGACGGAGATCTCTACGGCATCTTAACGGTTAATAAGGCAACGCTGCATGTGTGAACTCAAGAGATGGATTAAGTCCTCGGACTTCCTTTCCCAGGAGGTGCTGCATTTTGGAGCACCCATCTATATCTTTTATTCTAATTCTGCTGAAATGCTGCTCCAGAAGAACTAATTTAGCATACGTGTGATTGATGGTTATATGATGAAATGTTTTAAATGAGCAATAAAATGCCCAATAAGAAGTAATGTCCAAATTAGAAAGTGAACTGAATTATTAGCAATAAATAATTCCTTCGTGAAATACATTTTTTTTTTGCTCCTTCTTTCAGTTGCTTGCTTATTAGCTTACCACCCCTATAGATACTGTGGGGGGTTTTTTGAGGGGGGGATTTGGTCTGCAAATTATTCTTCCAATTTCACATTTAAAACAGATTTTTTAAAAAAATTATACACAGGAATTGCGAACATGCAACTTGCCAGACTTCCAAAAGGTACACCCGCTCAACTGTTTTTTTTTAATTATTATTATTATTATTTAAAAGACTAACGGGCCACAAAATGGCAAAATGACAGGTCCTTTCATGTGAGATGCACCTAAGGCAGGTAAAGATCGGCATCATTCACTGCCAACATTTAAAATGAGGACATATAGGAAGGACTGAGGATAGAAGCTTTTTTAATGGGAAAGTAGAATTTGGAAGCAGGGAGGGAGGTTTAGGAATGGAGGCCAGTACATGAGGGAAGGGTTTGAGATGGGAGGAGACAATGCCAAATCTATTCATTCAATATATAGGTTTTACTAAGGTTAAAATAATAAAAATCTATATTGGTACGCTTTCTTGGTTTTCTGCAACTGGCCCCAAAAGAAAACCCAAAGACATATGACTTATGAAATGATCGCCTCATTCCCCAAAAAATGATTTTGGCATCGTTGTGATTAGGAATTAGGAAATGATGATTACAGGAAGACGGCTGCAGGTAATTCTCAACGTACGACCATAACTGCGGCAGGTATCGTGCCCTGGTGGTGCAGTAGTTAAAGTGCAGTATTCCAGACAAACTCTGCTCACAGCTTGGAGTTCGATCCTGACGGGGTTCAAGGTTGACTCATCCTTCCAAGCAGTGGTGTGTTTCAAGTATTTTTACCACCGGTTTGGTGGGTGTGGCTTGGTGGGTGTGGCTTGGCTTGGTGGGCATGCTTTGCAACACATGCCAAATATGCACTTTGTGCAGGCGCAGAGGCGTTTTGAGTCACCTCCTGCAATCCTGCACTGTCCCTGATGCTTCAGCAGCTGCTGCAGCAGCAATTGCTGTGCCGCGCAAAGCAGCTGTGCTTCAAAAGCAGGGGATAAAGGTGAGTAGGGGAGCCCGGGCAGGTGGGTGGGCCCAACAGCAGAGTGGTGGAGGGAACTGGTTCGGTCTCTGCTGCTCATCGCCACTACCGGCTAGTAGAATACCACCACTGCTTCTGAGATTTGGTAAAAGGAGGACTCAGATTGTTGGGGACAATATGCAAATAATGATGATATTGTAAACCGCCCCAGAGAGTGCTGTAGAGAAGGGGTCACCAACCTTTTGGAGCTCAGGGACCACTAAATTCATAATTTTAAATCCTGTGGACCACTAATATGATTGCCTAACGACAGGCTGGGTGGGCGTGGGAAACTCAATGTCACTCACTCACCCCTCCCCTCCCAGCCACTCCTCGCCTGCCTGCCCAGGCTTCTTAGAGCCTTAACAGGAAGCAGCTGTTGTAGCCACCACGAGAAAGAGTTGGCAAAACAGCTGGCTCAGTTCAAATTGGATCTGACCGAGAAGGAGGCTCAATAGAAGCACCTCACTGAGGACTACGAGCGTAGGCTTTCCTTTTTTTAAAAAAACCAAATTTTATTAATTTTTAAAGACATACAAAACATAGATACACAAAAACACAAAACATAAAAACATAAAAAATCTCTTTTCTGAAAGTTGCTTAGTCCCGCGTTATAACTCTTGGCACAGACACAAATTCAAATTCATATTCATTTTACATACCATTTCATATCTTATTAACATTTTCTATTTTCTATATAACTTCTCCTCACTTTTAAATTTTCTCAATTTTATTTAATTTATCTCCTCTCAATTAGAATCATAATATTTATTATTCTTTGTCTGTTCTATTTCCAACCATCCATTTATTTTTCTTCTTTAAAAAAGAAGAAAAACTTCTCCTGTACACTAAATGGAGTATGATGCCTTTATCTCCTTCCCCTATATTTATAATACTTAATATAAAACACATAACTTACATTGGGATTCTGTCTGGTACATTCTAAAATTATACTATATTATCAAAAATAATACAAATCTATTCATTAATATTGATATTCATTTATATCTTAAACATCTAACACATTACTTTTCAATTAAATCACATACTTTTATGGGAGCACCTATTTTCCATAGTTATTCCCCCCCACCTCACATATTATAGCTCTTTATTTCATTACGATGTTCCTCCTTCTTCTACTTCAAATCTCTCATTTCACAAAAAATTTCGCTAATATACCATAATCTAATCATTAATATTAACAATCATTTATATCTTAAACATTTTATCCATTTCAATTAAATATCATGCCTTTGTGGGAACACTTATGCTTTCCAAAAATTATTACACCCCCCCCCCACATCACATGTCTTAAATCATATTTCATTACAGTTCTCCCTTTTTCTTAACAAAAATTTCACTAGTTTATATTAAATATTTTAT